TTTTTTTTTTTGGTCTTTTTGAGACAGGGTCTCACTGTGCAATTCATGCTGGCCTTGAGGTCACTTTGTAGCCCAAGCTGCCCTCGAACTCGCGACGATCCTCCTGCCTCAGCCTCCCTAGTGCTGGGATTACAGGCATGCGCCACTACACCCAGCAACATATATGTTTTTTCAAGATAAGGTCTCACTATGTAGCCCAGAATGGCCTCGAACTTGCAGGGATCCTCAGCCTCCCAAGTGCTAGGATTATAAGTGTGTGCCACTATACCTGGTTTAACCCAATATTCTAACGTGAACGTTAAAAAAAATTTAAAGTTTCAAAAAGAAGAGGAAGCTGTCTCCTGGATTTCCCCAGGCACCTTTAGTTTCTCCCATCTGCTTATTTTTTGTTTTTGTTATTTTGTTTTGTTTTTGCTGTATCAAGGATTGAACACAGAGCTGACATGGTGGTGCATGCCTGTAATCACAGCACTCGGGAGGCTGAGGCAGGAGGATCGTTGTGAGTTTGAGGCTAGCATGGGCTACAAAGTGAGCTCAAGACCAGCCTGAACTGCATAGTGAGACCCTGTCTCAAAAAGATTAAAAACAACAAAAAAAGATTGAACACAGAACCTTTGTACTAAGCCACATCCCTAGCACTTTTCATTATACATATATATATATATATATATATATATATTTGGAGGGTTTTTTTTGAGACAAGGTCTAGCTATGCAGTTCAGGCTGGCCTTGAGCTCACTTTGTAGCCCAAGCTGGTCTTGAACTCACAGCCATCCTCCTGCCTCAGCCTCCCGAGTGCTGGGATTACAAAAAATATGAGATAGGGTCTCGTTGTGTAGTTCAGGCTGCTCTTGAACTCACAGCAATTCTCCCACCTCAGCCTCCCATGTGCTAGGATTACAGGCATGTGCCACCATGCCTGGCTTTTATGTTTTATTTTGAGACAGGGTCTAGGTAAGTCACTAAGTTGCCCAGGCTTGGTTCAAACTCACAGCCCACCTGTTTCAGCCTCCCATATTTCAGAGATTCAGGTTTTCACTCTCCCACTTACAGAAATCACTGTTATAATAACTCACCCACAATGAGGGGTTTGTATGGGCCTTATACATTCTGAATATTTATTTTTTATTTTGAGACAGGGTCTTGCTAATTTGCCCATGCTGGCATTGAACTTGTGATCCTCCTGCCTAAGCTTCCCAAGTAGCTGATATTACACATGTGCACCATCATTCCCGGCCCAACCATTTTCTTATTGCCAGCCTCGCTCCCACCCTTGCAGCCTGTGCTACACCTGTTAGGTATAGCTATTAGATCCATTTTACTGATAAGAAAACTGAGGTACAGGAAGTTTCTGGTACTTACCCAGAGTAACACACAGCCAGCAAATTTACAGACTGCTTCCCAAGGTCCTTACTCCTAACAGACACTTTACTGCCTCTGCCTCCTGTGCAGTCCAAACTAGTTTATATGAGCTTTATCCTCAGGGCACTAGGGAGCCAGAGATTTGTAAACAATAGAGTAATGTGATTTCTTTAAACAGATCAATCTGGCTCCAAGTGGAACATGTATTTAGGGGAGTCATGACAGCCAGAGAGAAGGCTAGTCTAAAATAGGAAGCGGGTGGACACAGAACAGGGATAGATCGGAACGGAAACGGGGTGCTAAGAGTATGTAGGGTAGGGGTGAGGGATCAGGGCTTTGGCTGGTAGGAAGGGCTGTGAAACGGTAGGAAGCTTCAGCGCTGGAACCAGTGTGTGGGGTGCTGGGTTCCAGGCAGCCTGGGTTTAAGGCACCCAAGGTGCCCCACAGAACTGCAGACCGGTGGTGCACATGGGGCTGGCAGGCAGGGACGAGGTCGGGCTGGAGATGACCTGCGGGGTGCGGGGCCTCTGGCGTGGGAAGTGTGTGGCTCAGGGGCAAGCAGAGCCCTTGCCGTCCTCTTAGGGACCTCCTGGAGCAGCTTGAGGCTTGGAAACGGCTTGCTGGACTCCCTAGAAAGAGCACGCGACTGAAAGGAGCAGCTGACCGCGGGGAAGAGCACAAGGACCACAGTTCTGTTTGTGGTTGGAGGTCACGGCCCCTAGTGGCCCCATCCTGCCCCACTTCCATACACTGGGGTCTGAGTCCTGCCCACCTCCCTAAAGCTGGGCCTCCAAGGGTCTGACAGGTTCTTTCTGTTGCTTGGCAACTGAGGGAGCTGTTGGCTGTTGCTAGGAGCAGGCTGGGGAGGCTGAGGAGCTAAGCTCTCCAGCCAGGGGTGGAGTGTGTAGCGGGGGAAGGGGTCTGCCTTGGAGCTGGCTTGCAATCTGTGCACGGACAGAGTGTGCTCCGGGCTGTGTCTGTCCACAGTTATAGCGTGTCCTTTGGAGCAGGAGGATGTTAGAGGTTAGGCCTATGGGTGGGTTTCTACAGCATATAGCTGTCTGTGTCCCTAGCAGGCATTACCTCTTTTTGCCGTTTATTGCATGCCCATGGCAGGGCCTGCTTGAACTTTGACTTGGGCGGAAGGAACCGTGTGAAAACCACCGGAGGATTACAGGCCAGTACAAGGGAGACCCTGAGATAGGGACACACAGACATTCTAGGGGAAGCAGGCAGCCAGCAAACTGGGAGTGGAATAAGGTACGTGGCAAGGTAGGAAGGAGGGTAGGCAACTCGGCGGCGAAGTGTGAACCACAGTACTGCCGGCTCCCCGCTGGCTTTGGAGACCTCACCAGTCCTCGGGATGGGGCCTCCTGGGCCCATGACACCGGGGCTCACGGGACACCTTCCTGGGGAGTCCTTGGCAGACCCTTCAAATGTCCCGTGAAGACTGGGGTTGTGGGCTCCCGCTGGAGAGCGGATCAAAAGATTCGAAAGCCAGGCGTGATGGAGCACGCCTGCAACCCGCGCACTCCCGGAGGGTGAGGCGGGAGGGCAAGTGGGACCTCAGGCGGGCAGCTCTGCAATGTAGCGAAACCGTGTCTCAAAATAAAAACAACCAAGGTTGGGGTGCGCGTCCTTGCAAAAGCCCTGGATTTGAGCCCAGTATTGCAGGGGGAAAAAAAAGATTTGAAATGTTCAGCTGGAAAGGCTGCTGCCTCCACTCTCGCCCAGGCTCAGGGCTGCAGCCAGTACCCAGTGGCGACAGGTCACCAGGGGATGGGAAACGGGAACGAAGCCACTGCCATAGGTGGACAGGCCGTGGAAGGGACAGGTCATAAACTCATAGTGACTTCCAGCTGGGCGTGGCGGCAGGGCCTGTCTGTGATCCCAGGACTCCGCAGGTTGAGGCAGGCGGATCCCCGAGGCCACCCTGTGCTACAAAGCGAGACCCTGTCTCAAAAGGCAAAAACAAACGAACAAACGTCATAGTGACTTTTGTTTCCACAAACCCAGTGGGGCCTTCTCTCTCCCTGTCGTCCGGGTCGCCCGGGCCCAGGCTGGAGTCCAGCGTGGCCGCCTCCAGGACGGTGCTTTTCAGCAGGCCCGGGAAGGGGGAGGGGCCCTGGGCCGACGAGGAAGGGCATCCATCCGCGGGAAGCAGCCTAGGCAGAGTGCGGACGCGGCCATCGACTGCTTTTGTTTTTTATTTGCTGCAACCCGGAGAAAAGAAAAGGGAAAATTTAGACGGTCTGCTCGCCTCCCAGGCTCCGCAGATCCCAGAGCAAGTTTGCTGGGGTCACTGACTTTGCCGAGGGATGAAGACACACCTCCTCCACCAGGCCACCCGGCTCCCCAAGTTCCGAGGGCCGCGGGCTCCCCGGCGGGCGAGGGCCCCGCGGCCCC